CTTTTATTTTATATAAAATTTTGACCATTGGCTAAGTTAAAGATTATTTCTCAAATTGTACTCATAATTCATTATTCACGTATCAATTAATAGAATCCGCAGGAGAATATGAAATGTGATCTCCCTGAATTAATTCTATCTAAGTATGATGAATTTGTAAAGACTTCAATAAAACAATTGTTTCAGGAAATTTTAACAATGTTTTTCATGATAAAGCATGGAAAGAAAATGAAAGAGATCTAAAAAAAAAAACAGATCGAATTCTGAATGTTCTGTATATAATTTTACTGCAAATTTCTTTAAATAAATATTTTTATATATTACAATTTATAATTTGTTTATTTCTAAACAAGTTTCAAGGTATGGTGCAATCCAGCATTCGCAACAAGTATGTCTCGCAGTGAACAGAGTGAGAGAATATATGTTGCGGATGTTATGATGCCTTTGCTTCGAGCAACTCTAGAGAATTTCCCAAATAGTAATCTCTGCTTGAGTGCATAAGTATTTAATATAAATAATGTTCATGAAAAAGTGTGTTTTATACTATTATATTTTTTTCATTAAATTATAGAGCAGAGTGCCAAAGTTTGGCGAGTAAGGCTTAGAGGATTCCCAAAATTGGGAAGAAACCAGATGTTATAGTATTGGTGAAGTATGGAAAGAAGGTCAATGAGTTGTATATGTTAAATACTCCCACGTTGTCTGCACTAATACAAAAAAAGATGATGATGTAGTGAAGTTATGGAGGGAAGCATTGGACAGGATAAGTTACGTTAGTACATCATACAGACCGGCTCACAACCAATTTGGAATTGTAGGAATCAAGTTGCTAGAGAGGTTATATATTTAAATGTTCTTATATTGGATGGTGCCAGAATATCTCAGTATTTTTATCTTGATTAAGCAGAGATACCACTAACAATAGATATACCATAGTACATGAAACCTCTAATATGCTTATCATTAACTTGAGAGTATGGATATATATATCATGCAATTTTGCTTCCACCATTATGTTTAATTAATAAACTATCTATGTTTTATATATAGATACAGAATATTCTGATAGTAAATAAAAGTTTGCTAAAGCGAGCACTTGAACAAGCAAATACCAATCTATCTCGAAATATTCAACCGAGCCCTACAATATCCTCTCTATGTAGAGAAGAACAAAAAAAAACAAGAGCCAAAAAGATAAGTGATATGAATCATCCTTTACATAAAGGTGGAAGGTTAACAAAAAAGAATAGTAGAAATTTTCAGAATGTATCCACATGAATTTCTATCTTGTATTTTGTTCTATTTTTATTTTTTATACTAGTCCTGGTGGCTGATTTCTTTGTATATATAATCACATTTATTTTTGCATGTGTATTGATATTAATATTTTTTTTTTTGCTGAAAGTGATTGATGAGTTCCTGACTACTGGTCAGTATTAGTGATTGGACCTGTCTAAAAAAATGCTACCTGGGTGACCTGATGGACCATCCGGGTAGAACTCGGGTAGGCCACCCGACAGGTGGGCTATCGGCCACCCGGGTAAGTTACAGCTATTTTAATAATTCCTAGAATATTTGATAAAAATTGACTGAATGATGCTCTGGCTGATTCGATTACAGCTGTTTTATACATTCTGAAAAATCTGGCTGACCGAATATTTGCCGATTCGATAAGTTTGTGATTTCAATAATGATCACATTCGAATCAAAAGTTATCACTGCCGAATCAAAAACTTATCGAATTGGCAAATATTCGATTAGTCAATTTTGCCAAAATTTGTGTATTCAGCATAATAGATACAAAATTTATGTATCAGGTATGCACATACGTATGTATATACATGACTTTTATATTAACTAGTGCACTGACACATGATTATTGAATCTGCATTGTTACCAGAACTATTAGACTTTATGTGCCAGCTCTATAAAAATTTTGGTCATTATTTACATATGAAAATTACAAAACTTACACGTAAAAATTACACAACCTGTCTACCTATATATAAAAACTATGATACTTGTATTCTATAGGTAACTTTAATATTATAAATGCTGATATGTCCAATATTATTAAATTTTTTATTTGAATAATTGCCCAACATATTTAGTATATTTGTACGAAAACAAATTACAATGTAACCTATATGTATGTAATATAATAGTTCCAAAAATATATACCCCTGGCCTGTACTATACTGATTTTGGCCTGCGTTATAATTATTTTAGCCAGTATTACATGCAAAAAAAGGTGATTATTTTTGGAACTATACGGTATATGTATACCGATCATGTTGAAATCAATCACCAGAGAATCGACCAGGGTGGCCATCAAATTTACTGTGTTATGACCCTGTATTGTATATTTGCATATTGTGCATATTGAACCTAGGTGGTGCTACTCACATGACAGTAAATTTGATGGCCGCTCTGGTCAATTCTACCACCAAGAGTCTAGACTATAGATAGGCAAAATACATATTTTAGGCCATACTATACGTATTATGCAAAAATGCGTATAGTAAGCATGATGCGCATGATACACGTGACTGATATTTATATGATTAAAATTATGATTAATTATTTTGTTAAAGCAAATTTTTGATAAATTTAGCGAAATATAAAATCAATTTATATAAAATTCTTTCAACATAATTTATTGGCAAATTTTTAATATAAGGAATATTTAGACAAATCTTATTATAAACCAGGTTATGTTAACTGGAATAACTGTATCATTATATATATATCTATTAATTTAGTACAAATTTTTTTTATTTATACAACAAATACATATTTGCAAAAACAAATTAATTATTCATTTTCACTTTCTATTTCATCATCTATTTTACTATCAGTTTCTTTGATGTTTGAATAATTTTCAAACAATTCCTCATCTTCATCTTTAGCAAATATTTCTTCATATAAATCATTCGAGTTATTATCTATTGGATCTAGTAACTCAATATTTTTCTGATTTTGAGATAGCTTATTATTAAACCATTCTGCTACTTGTACAATATTAGAAAATTCATACTGTGAACAAGTAAGTTTATAGTTACTAAATATATATACTAATTTTAATACTTATTTATTAGTTAATTTTACTTTTTTTTTTTTGAATATAAGAGAAGATTGACCAATTTTATTCAGAAGTCACCGATGATGAAAGAATTGAAAGAATTTTAGTAGCAATTTTATATAATTTAGGTGTTGATATCTTGAAGTTTTCTTTTTACCAAGCAACAGGGTTAATATTTTCAATTGTATTCTAGGCTAATTGAAGATCAAATAGACCTGTTTTAGTTTTGTACTCAATTAATTGCTGCCAAATGATTTCTATATTTTCCGGATAATGTTTTTAAATAAATTGAAATATTAATATTATCCCTTAAACTGTAAGCTTTTCCAGGCAAATTTGTCTAGAAAATTATCATAAATATGGTTATGATCTACTTTTTTTAAATTTTAATATATTT